TGAGCAGAATGCCCAGCCGGACATTCAGCTGCATAACATGCACCGCACGACGGTGGTCACTACGGCAAATAAATGCCACCAAATCCAGCTGAAAATGGCGCAAACTGCCAAATTGGAGCGGCGACGAAGATGCAGGCGAAGGATGGCTACCCAGAGGCCATCTATCCAGCCCAGCATACGCCGTACCTGTAAGCAATACAAAAACTTAAAAAAATGCAAATTACAAAAAATTCCACGCACCAACTTACCTGCACAACTGGACCAGCGAATGCGTCAGCGGCCTGCTCAGCACAAATGGAAGCCAGCGAAACGTCATCCACTCGACGCCGAGTGGCCAGACACAGCGCCACCCGTACGTGCAAAAATGATGCAGCGCAGGCTGCATATCACTCAGCCTTCGGGCATAAACAGGCGTGAAAATACGGCGATCCGCTATCCATGCATCCTGGGTGTGTGGTTAGCGTTGTCCATTGCCAGTCATCCGCTCCAGCAGCTAAAGTTATGCCCATCCAAAGCGATGCAAACTCCAGCAGATGTAGCGGCAGCCATCACACAATGCAAATTGCAAATTTATGCGACATTAAGTCGGCCAGGTAGCCGGTGGAAGCCAATTGTCCACCGGAAGGCCAGAGGCAGACGGCCAGCGCATCGTAAGGCGGTGCGATACAAAATAAATTAATTTATTAGTTATACTTAGCCACAAAATTGTTAAATTTAAAATAATTTTCCACTTACATGTCTTTAGCGTGCCCAATTGAATATTATGTATTCTTGCCATTCACACGACAGCATTGCCAGCTGATCGTGCAGAAATTTCCCCCAGCTAACTGACCTACGACAAAATGCTAATCGAACAGAGTCTGTTATGTTATGTTTATGTTTAAATGTAGGTCAGTCGAGATTAAATGTTAAATGTATCTCTTGTCATGTCCCTCTCCACCTTGCAAACTGGAGAACGTTGCATATTTTTAAGTGCTCCCAAAAAATGTTCTAAAATTTCTGTTTGCAAAACCAATATGTAGAAATGAGCAACAATAAAAATCTCTCTGTGGCGGTCGAGGCGAGCGGACGTGTTTGCGGACGGCGCCCGGTCGGACTACAGACGAACAACTAAAAAAAAAAACAGGCGCATTCAACAAATGATTGAGGCCAAGAGGCTGATTAAACGCCACATACAGGCATACCACAACCCGGCTGCTAGGCAAGCACACAACAGATTAGCCAACAACATTAGCCGGGAAATCAAGCATGCCAAGGCGAGAAGACTTGATGAGTTGCTGGAATCTATCGATGCAAGGGATAGATACAGTATGCAAAAGTTATGGCGGCTAACGGGGAACATCAAAAGGCAGCCCGCACCTAATTTACCAGTGAGGAAGCACACTGAGGGAGCTGGGACTTCCCAGTGGTGCAAGACCACCGAAGAAAAAGCCGAAGCCTTTGCGCAGCACCTTGAACAAAGGTTTAGGCCAATGATCACCACGCTGCCCTCTGACAAGAGCCATGTCGAGATGCAAGTATCGCTACCTGTGGCCCAAGGTGAACTCTGCTTCCCTCCAGTCACGCTAGGGGAAGTACAAGCTATAATCAAAATGCTGCAAACAAAAAAGTCTCCGGGGATTGACCGAATCGATAATCGCACGATCAAGGAACTGCCACAGTCAGCTGTACTGTACCTAGTGCTTATTTTTAACGGTATCCTACGCTTTGGACACTTTCCTTGCAAGTGGAAATGTGCCAAAATAACAATGATCCAAAAGCCAGGCAAGCCCTCTGATCAGCTTGGATCATACAGGCCAATAAGCTTGCTCGCTGGCTTTTCAAAAATCTTTGAGCGACTGCTGCTGCGCCGGATGTTCCAATTGGACAACATCATCAATGCAATTCCGAGCCACCAATTCGGTTTCAGACGTGAGCATGCTGCTGAACAACAATTGGGTCGAGTTACGCAGTTTATACTAGAAGCGTACGAGGACAATAAATACTGCTCTGCGGTCTATATGGACATACAGGAGGCGTTTGATCGTGTCTGGCATGACGGACTGCGATTCAAGCTCAAACAGCTATTGCCGGAAGTCCTCTACCGAGTTATGAATAGCTATCTAAGCGAACGCACATTCATTGTGGACTGCTGTGGAGGTACGCATTCCAGCCTAAAAGAAATCTGCGCCGGCGTTCCGCAGGGTAGTGTTTTAGGGCCTGTACTGTACACCCTATACACATCCGACATGCCCCTACCTGCACCGCTACGACACGGCAAACTGATGCTGGCAACTTATGCCGATGACACGGCCATCTTGTCATCGGCAAACTTGCAAGAAGATGCCATTGCCAATTTGGATCTGTTCCTTGCCACCATTACAACATGGACACAAAAGTGGAGCATTAGCATCAACATTACCAAAACCAAGCACATAATGCACACTTGGAGAAGCTTGCAGATGCCAATTCTTTCCCCAAGAATTTTGGATCAACGGCTCACCACAGAAGAAAGGATTTCATACCTGGGAGTGCAAGTCGATAAAAAGCTTCTTTTGAGCAGCCACGTCACCACCATTGTCGCCAGGGTTAGAGACAGGGCCAAAAAGCTGCACTGGCTAATATCAGAAAGGAGCAAGCTACCATTAAAATGCAAAGTATCACTCTACAAGCAGCTCATAGCCCCAATATGGCAGTTCGCACTTCCGGTCTGGGGATCACTTCTAGGCGAAGGCCAATTTGAACGGATTCAAGTTGCGCAAAACAAGATATTGCGAACCATTGCTGGAGCACCTTGGTACGTGCGAAACCAAAGCATCCACACTGATCTGAAGGTCGTGCCGGTGGAAAAAATGTATCAGGATGCTTGCTCCAGGTACTGGGCTCGGCTCAGCAACCACAGCAACGATGAAGCCAAAAATATTGCCCTTAAAGCAAGACTCCCACAACGTCACCTAGGTGTCAGAAGAAGATACGCTGAAATGCTTCGGAAGCACCTACCTCTGGGTCGCCTAGCACAGCAGCAGCGGTCACAGCAGGGCCAGCTACCTTCTCATGGGCAGCCACGTCCGCTCCCACGACCACCCAGTCTCAGAGACTACCTTGTATTTGACATACAAGAACTGCTAAGTCAAACAGTGGTGCAGCCCAACTACCTCCAGGATAGACGAAACAGCCCGTCTCATATACAGCTGTGCTCAACTCTCGCTACCACTACAAGGCCAGGAGCTCTCATTCCTCCCAGTCCAGAGACACCAAGCTCGCATCCAAATCCACAGACGCAGCGGGACGTGGCCACCAGTGCGGATCAAGAAGCAGTGTGCAACACCATGTGCACACTTGCTACACTGTTCATGATGGCAGCCAACCTCTATGTACTTGTACCACAGCGAGGGCCTAAGACTAGGACTACTTGCAGGACACGGCAACTCATCCAATTGCGACTGGCTGAAAGGCAGATAAAGCAAAGATTGCGTTACGCTAACGAACCAATCAGATGGCTTCATACAACTCGTTGCCAAAGGGTTGCCTACTTACAGAAATTCAGACTGCGACATCCCATACAATGGAAAAAGGCCTTGATGCTACGTCTCTCAAGCACCCACACCAATGGCATCTGGCGGCAGGATCAACGGTGGTCACGCTGGCGGCTCCAGCTCATCCAGATGCAACGGCTATCAGACTGGGTAGCTTCCAGACAATTGGGGATTTTCCCAATCCTCAAATAATTAATTTGACAGCAATCCCCATGCCAAGGCTGGGAAACTTCACTTGAATTGTATATAACATGTCACTTAATTCATTGTAAGTACTCTAGGTATTAAATGAATAAAAAAAAAAAACAGTCTGGATCCCAGTCCCCACTTCTCTGTCTGTCAACCAGGCATGGAGCTGGGCTCTGGAATCCAGACCGACATTGCGTTTGTTCCCTTGTGTCGAACGGTAAACAAAAAATCTTATATATATCATCGCAACAGGCAGATATATATTGTAAAAAAAAAAAAAACAACGTCACCTAGGTGTCAGAAGAAGATACGCTGAAATGCTTCGGAAGCACCTACCTCTGGGTCGCCTAGCACAGCAGCAGCGGTCACAGCAGGGCCAGCTACCTTCTCATGGGCAGCCACGTCCGCTCCCACGACCACCCAGTCTCAGAGACTACCTTGTATTTGACATACAAGAACTGCTAAGTCAAACAGTGGTGCAGCCCAACTACCTCCAGGATAGACGAAACAGCCCGTCTCATATACAGCTGTGCTCAACTCTCGCTACCACTACAAGGCCAGGAGCTCTCATTCCTCCCAGTCCAGAGACACCAAGCTCGCATCCAAATCCACAGACGCAGCGGGACGTGGCCACCAGTGCGGATCAAGAAGCAGTGTGCAACACCATGTGCACACTTGCTACACTGTTCATGATGGCAGCCAACCTCTATGTACTTGTACCACAGCGAGGGCCTAAGACTAGGACTACTTGCAGGACACGGCAACTCATCCAATTGCGACTGGCTGAAAGGCAGATAAAGCAAAGATTGCGTTACGCTAACGAACCAATCAGATGGCTTCATACAACTCGTTGCCAAAGGGTTGCCTACTTACAGAAATTCAGACTGCGACATCCCATACAATGGAAAAAGGCCTTGATGCTACGTCTCTCAAGCACCCACACCAATGGCATCTGGCGGCAGGATCAACGGTGGTCACGCTGGCGGCTCCAGCTCATCCAGATGCAACGGCTATCAGACTGGGTAGCTTCCAGACAATTGGGGATTTTCCCAATCCTCAAATAATTAATTTGACAGCAATCCCCATGCCAAGGCTGGGAAACTTCACTTGAATTGTATATAACATGTCACTTAATTCATTGTAAGTACTCTAGGTATTAAATGAATAAAAAAAAAAAACAGTCTGGATCCCAGTCCCCACTTCTCTGTCTGTCAACCAGGCATGGAGCTGGGCTCTGGAATCCAGACCGACATTGCGTTTGTTCCCTTGTGTCGAACGGTAAACAAAATTATCAGGAGCGAGAAACTCGGCAAGTGATAGCACATCCTGCAGAAGCGCGCCAGCAACACAGGAGCCGCAGCCGCAGCTCACCGCGAACTGCATACCCGCGAGATGACCTCAGCCGAAAACTTGATCAGCTGATCAACATAATGGTTGAACAACAAAGGAGCGCAATTGCCCCTGCCAATAACAGCAACCTGGAAAGTAAAATTGACAGATTAGTTGATCTAATGACGAGTATGATGGCTACCGTAAGCACTCTCATGTCTACCATGGAGCGCGTCAATGGTAACCAAAATGTCTAGCCACGACGCCAACTCCATCACTTCCTCCTCAGAGAGAAATGGGCATAACATATATGCCAGACTCAACACCAACGCCCTTAAAATTGTAGCCTGGAATGCAGCAGGACTACACAATAAACTGGAAGAGATGGAGTTATTTATGCTGCAAAACGAAATCGACATAATGTTAATAGCTGAAAGCTACCTACGGGATGCAGAAACTATTGATATAAGGGGATACCACACTTACCTGGCAAACCACCCATCTAACAACCGCCGTGGAGGTGCAGCCATCCTAGTAAAGCGCACAATCCAACACATAGCGCTCATGCCGACAACCCTGGAGAAAATTCAGTGTGCGCCAGTTGCAATTACACTGCTAAATGGCTCAGTCATTAATGTTGCGGCCATATACTGCCCCCCGCGGGAACATTGGCTGGTTCAAGACTTCAACTACGTATTTAGACAGCTTGGTGCTAAATTTATTGCTGCTGGTGACTGGAATGCCAGAAGTTATTGGTGGGGCAACAGCAGATCAAATCGCAGGGGTAATATACTCCTTGAAAGTGTGCAGCAGCAAAACCTTGACATTCTGGCAACTGGCTCGTCAACGCGCTTTCCAAATAATGCGCGGCAGTCCCCGACAGCCATTGACTTCGCAGTATATAAAGGTGTGCAGTATGGTCTGCTAAAAATAAGCACATCCAATGACTTAGGATCGGATCACCTGCCGCTGCTGATTGAACTACTGAGTAAGCCAGCAGAAGGCGAACCCAAGTGTCATCTTCTTCCAGCAAATGCGAGCATACCCAAATTTCAATTGTGGCTAAACATGCACATCAATTTGAACACTGAGCTTCACTGTGGCGAAGATATTGACGATGCGGTAGACATACTGGAAAATAATATCCACTCTGCAGCGAAATTTGCAACAAACCTAACTCACCAGCCTTACCGAGGGCAACCAAAATATAACTACACAATCAACAGGCGCATTCAACAAATGATTGAGGCCAAGAGGCTGATTAAACGCCACATACAGGCATACCACAACCCGGCTGCTAGGCAAGCACACAACAGATTAGCCAACAACATTAGCCGGGAAATCAAGCATGCCAAGGCGAGAAGACTTGATGAGTTGCTGGAATCTATCGATGCAAGGGATAGATACAGTATGCAAAAGTTATGGCGGCTAACGGGGAACATCAAAAGGCAGCCCGCACCTAATTTACCAGTGAGGAAGCACACTGAGGGAGCTGGGACTTCCCAGTGGTGCAAGACCACCGAAGAAAAAGCCGAAGCCTTTGCGCAGCACCTTGAACAAAGGTTTAGGCCAATGATCACCACGCTGCCCTCTGACAAGAGCCATGTCGAGATGCAAGTATCGCTACCTGTGGCCCAAGGTGAACTCTGCTTCCCTCCAGTCACGCTAGGGGAAGTACAAGCTATAATCAAAATGCTGCAAACAAAAAAGTCTCCGGGGATTGACCGAATCGATAATCGCACGATCAAGGAACTGCCACAGTCAGCTGTACTGTACCTAGTGCTTATTTTTAACGGTATCCTACGCTTTGGACACTTTCCTTGCAAGTGGAAATGTGCCAAAATAACAATGATCCAAAAGCCAGGCAAGCCCTCTGATCAGCTTGGATCATACAGGCCAATAAGCTTGCTCGCTGGCTTTTCAAAAATCTTTGAGCGACTGCTGCTGCGCCGGATGTTCCAATTGGACAACATCATCAATGCAATTCCGAGCCACCAATTCGGTTTCAGACGTGAGCATGCTGCTGAACAACAATTGGGTCGAGTTACGCAGTTTATACTAGAAGCGTACGAGGACAATAAATACTGCTCTGCGGTCTATATGGACATACAGGAGGCGTTTGATCGTGTCTGGCATGACGGACTGCGATTCAAGCTCAAACAGCTATTGCCGGAAGTCCTCTACCGAGTTATGAATAGCTATCTAAGCGAACGCACATTCATTGTGGACTGCTGTGGAGGTACGCATTCCAGCCTAAAAGAAATCTGCGCCGGCGTTCCGCAGGGTAGTGTTTTAGGGCCTGTACTGTACACCCTATACACATCCGACATGCCCCTACCTGCACCGCTACGACACGGCAAACTGATGCTGGCAACTTATGCCGATGACACGGCCATCTTGTCATCGGCAAACTTGCAAGAAGATGCCATTGCCAATTTGGATCTGTTCCTTGCCACCATTACAACATGGACACAAAAGTGGAGCATTAGCATCAACATTACCAAAACCAAGCACATAATGCACACTTGGAGAAGCTTGCAGATGCCAATTCTTTCCCCAAGAATTTTGGATCAACGGCTCACCACAGAAGAAAGGATTTCATACCTGGGAGTGCAAGTCGATAAAAAGCTTCTTTTGAGCAGCCACGTCACCACCATTGTCGCCAGGGTTAGAGACAGGGCCAAAAAGCTGCACTGGCTAATATCAGAAAGGAGCAAGCTACCATTAAAATGCAAAGTATCACTCTACAAGCAGCTCATAGCCCCAATATGGCAGTTCGCACTTCCGGTCTGGGGATCACTTCTATGCGAAGGCCAATTTGAACGGATTCAAGTTGCGCAAAACAAGATATTGCGAACCATTGCTGGAGCACCTTGGTACGTGCGAAACCAAAGCATCCACACTGATCTGAAGGTCGTGCCGGTGGAAAAAATGTATCAGGATGCTTGCTCCAGGTACTGGGCTCGGCTCAGCAACCACAGCAACGATGAAGCCAAAAATATTGCCCTTAAAGCAAGACTCCCACAACGTCACCTAGGTGTCAGAAGAAGATACGCTGAAATGCTTCGGAAGCACCTACCTCTGGGTCGCCTAGCACAGCAGCAGCGGTCACAGCAGGGCCAGCTACCTTCTCATGGGCAGCCACGTCCGCTCCCACGACCACCCAGTCTCAGAGACTACCTTGTATTTGACATACAAGAACTGCTAAGTCAAACAGTGGTGCAGCCCAACTACCTCCAGGATAGACGAAACAGCCCGTCTCATATACAGCTGTGCTCAACTCTCGCTACCACTACAAGGCCAGGAGCTCTCATTCCTCCCAGTCCAGAGACACCAAGCTCGCATCCAAATCCACAGACGCAGCGGGACGTGGCCACCAGTGCGGATCAAGAAGCAGTGTGCAACACCATGTGCACACTTGCTACACTGTTCATGATGGCAGCCAACCTCTATGTACTTGTACCACAGCGAGGGCCTAAGACTAGGACTACTTGCAGGACACGGCAACTCATCCAATTGCGACTGGCTGAAAGGCAGATAAAGCAAAGATTGCGTTACGCTAACGAACCAATCAGATGGCTTCATACAACTCGTTGCCAAAGGGTTGCCTACTTACAGAAATTCAGACTGCGACATCCCATACAATGGAAAAAGGCCTTGATGCTACGTCTCTCAAGCACCCACACCAATGGCATCTGGCGGCAGGATCAACGGTGGTCACGCTGGCGGCTCCAGCTCATCCAGATGCAACGGCTATCAGACTGGGTAGCTTCCAGACAATTGGGGATTTTCCCAATCCTCAAATAATTAATTTGACAGCAATCCCCATGCCAAGGCTGGGAAACTTCACTTGAATTGTATATAACATGTCACTTAATTCATTGTAAGTACTCTAGGTATTAAATGAATAAAAAAAAAAAACAGTCTGGATCCCAGTCCCCACTTCTCTGTCTGTCAACCAGGCATGGAGCTGGGCTCTGGAATCCAGACCGACATTGCGTTTGTTCCCTTGTGTCGAACGGTAAACAAAATCGAGAACTAATCGCTCTCAACAATAAACTCCAAGAAACAGAACGACTACTAGCATCCTTTCCTGCGCAAGCTGAGAGTGCACCCCAGCAGCAACAAAAACCGCTTACACAGCCACAACAAATTTCTGTGCAACCAGCACTTAGCCCCCTAGATGATACACTACCACTAACACTATAATCTAACCAATCTAACCAACAACAATAACCATAAAACTGCATACACCATATAAGTATGCTATGCTTAATCTATATAAACACCAAGCCATACTCACCAGTAACACAGTTAAAACTGCCTAGCCTAATTAACAAATATATGGCAAACTAAAAACCAAAATAAAAACACATCATACTTACCAGTAGCACAATGATAACAAACCAAGAAAACTGCCTAGCCTAGTGGGTCAGCATATAGTGATGAAATATAATGATAAGAGCATCTCACGCTATCACTATCATTATCTCTGACAATGCTGACCCATACCCCCCCTGGCCTGTTCACCAATCAGAACCCCCCCCTAATAGCACTAACAAACAACCAACTGCTCGACCTAAGTGAGCTTAAACAAAACCTAGCCAAGTCATACTGTGAGCCAAATAAAAGTGCCACATATGAATAAGTTGCTTAGACCACAGAAACCAAGCCACACTCACCAAGAAACACATAAATATTAACTGCATACACCAACCACAAATGCCAATCACTAACACAACTAACACAACCAAGACAAGGCACCAATGCTTAGCACAAACAACAAATGCCAAACTCTAAGCCACACTCACCAATGACACTACAGTCCCAACACCCCAACCCGGGAGACTGGCCAAAGAATGCAAATCCAAAAAGAAAAATCCAAAAATACTGCCTAGTCAAATGGATCAGCATAAAGTGAAGAAATATAATGATACAAGCACCTTGTGCTTCACTATCATTAACCCTGATCTTGCTGATCCAAACACCATGGCCAATCCAATTACTCAATTTAAAATAACTAACTCAAACCAAATAACAATTATATAAATATTAACTGCCAAACCAAACAATGGCCAAATAAAGAACAACCAAACACACAACCAAATTACACTGTGTATTAATACCATAATCCAATAGTCTATGCAAACATGCAACAAACTTCAAACTGCTGAACAAACTTAACCACCAAAATATCCAGCCATAGCATATTGTGCACTTACAATTCGCACAAACTGCACTCCCAATTCTCAGTGCCAGAATTACCATATGACCAATTCAACTAACAATAATACTAACCCATTAATATGCAAGTCATTCAGTTTGTCAGAATAGAGACTGAGAAGAGACCCTAAAGTGTATGTTCTTAGACAAGCAGACGACAACCAAGTTGCATGTTAACGTTCATACCAGACAAACAAAAACAAACCCAATTTGCTCAATAGCAACAGGAGACCCATACACACCAAAAGTGACCCAAACAACAATCCAATATTCGGATATATCACACCCCTAATAAATCTGCACCGCCTAAATTCCAGTGCCTAGAACAGTCATATCAGACTTCTAAAAACTGCTTAGCTTGGGTACCTGGAGCTCTGTCCTTCCGGACATGTGTAAACCAGGTGAGTGAGCAGTTATAGATTAAAAACAGCACAACAATATCCCAGTGCCTAAACTGCTTTGCTTGGGTGCCTGGAGCTCTGCCCTTCTGGGTATGTGTAAACCAGGTGAGTGAGCAGTGATAAAGAATCAAATCTGCACAACCTCAGTGCCTTAACTGCTTTGCTTGGGTGCCTGGAGCTCTGCCCTTCTGGGTATGTGTAAACCAGGTGAGTGAGCAGTGATAAAGAATCAAATCTGCACAACCTCAGTGCCTTAACTGCTTTGCTTGGGTGCCTGGAGCTCTGCCCTTCTGGGTATGTGTAAACCAGGTGAGTGAGCAGTGACCATGAAACCCCAAGAAAACAATGCTAGCCGGCACAACTCCTATGCCAAACAGCTCAACAAACCTCAAAAACCTGAACTGTCCCACCAGACTTCAAAACTAATCCACAACTAACCACCAACCTGGCGCAAACACTAACCACAACTAACAACCTCAATATGCTCTACACTTCCAAGGCTAGCCACCAAAGCCACAATAGCGTATTGACCAACCACCAATAAAAACAATCCGTGCTTCACCCAGCGCAACAAGCTCCAACCTGAGCAACACCTAAGCGCCAAAAACAAGAGCTATACCTAGCCATAATCTGCAATACCAACAATTGCCTCCCAAGAAAACGACCGATTCCGCGTGGTCCGCTAAGCGGCGCAGTGCGGTAAACTTGTCCAGATCCAGCCATTACACGGATCTGGGCCACCAGCCGTATGTACTGAGTAATAGACCAGTACATACTACAAAAAAAAAAAAAAAAAAAAACCAATCAGAACCCCCCCCTAATAGCACTAACAAACAACCAACTGCTCG